GTGCAGAAAGGTACTCAAAGCAAGACAAATTTCAGTAGCACTCTGCTGAGAACTCACAGAAGTTGCTTGGCAGCTTTTCCTGTGTAATGACAATGATTGTACCTTCCAGGGGAGATCTTTAGAGAAATATATTCAGTTTGCAAAACAGTGTCATTACTCTTGAAAGTAACACTCTTCCAGCATGCTGTCTTTGGAGATCATTATGTATAGCACTTGTGCTAGTATTTTAAGATGTGACTGATGTAGGTATGCTACCTGGTGCTTCCTGCTTACAGCATGCAATATTTAAAAGTACATGTACTTCTTAATACAATTGAGGCAAAGTTTTGGCAAATGCTTGTATTCTGGCACTGCTGCAACATTTTTATGAATACTGATTTCAATACACAAGTATGCTGGTGCCTCAAAAATATGTTGAACCTAGGCATTAAAACTTGAGTACTCGTACAGTCTGTATTCCTCAATTCCTATATCAACTATTTTATTTGGTCGAAGGCACTCAGCATTGGTTTCATTTGTTTTAACTTGATTTCCAGAAGACAATAATTATGTATTAATGATAGAATCATAGAATGATTTGGGTCAGTGACTTGCAGCAGTAATCCAGAGAAAGCACAGACACTTTTTAATATAGCAGTGAATCCACATGCACAAACATACTCTAAACAGCCAAAATACAGTCTGTTCTAACCTGAATTTTACTAATCTAAGCTGGGTAGACTAACAGCAGAACTGGCACTGTTCTTCAATTTTCTTTGATAACTTCCCCAAACTGTCATCTCTAGTTCCGTACTGGTTCAAGTTTTTTCTTTTTCCCCTCATCTGCACCGTTCTGCCAGAATTTGTCTGTAGCATTCTTTGAATTTGTATCAATGAGAGAGGAGTATAAGCTCAACATTGAAAATACCACTTTCTACAGCTCAATAACCATTCCAGCAACCTCCAACCAAATACATACCAAAAACATAGTATGTTCTGTGCTAAGGCAGTAGGAAAGCTGCAGCTGTCCACAAACACCATAGTTTTCTTCCTAACTGAAAGAAAACCTAAAAGTTACACAAAATCCATCCATCTGGTACTGCAAGAGTCTTCAGACAAGTCAGCTGCACTCTGTGAGTTGTGGCATCGAAAGCATCGAGCAAGTCTAATGTTACAGTTTATGGATGCTTTATGTATTGCACCCTTTGGATCAAACTGTGAAGACCAGGTGGTGGATAGTGATTGGCTGGGTCATACAACAGGATTTTTTTCCTAAGTACAAAACTGCATCTCTCAAAGAGAACAGGAAGTTTGTCTTAGGACTTCCTCTTTGGAGGAAAGGTTAGTTTGGACCTTTAGGAGAGAATGCATTTAATTCTTCACTGAAAGCCCCTATGAAACTGTGCAGTAGGATATTGAATACAAAATCTATGTTTGGCTATCAGGATTCCTCAACTTTTCTAGACTTCAGTTCAAACCAGAACAGCTCTTCCCATTGGTAGGATTTTTACAGACCAACCATATTTGGCCACAATGCAAACTAGAGTCTATTGTTCAAAACTGCCTTATCTGGAATTGGTGGAGATGAAGAGCCATTTCGTCATTTCACATCCAGCTGCAGCACAAACCCCTGACAAAATATTGATATTGAAATTGTTTGGTTTTACACCCAAACCACCACTCTTTTTGTTCCATTTCTTTCATGCGGCATTATCCAAAGTTAAACATTATTTGGACCAGGAAGCCAAAGTGAGAGAGACAAAAAACCTAAAAAAACTTATTTGACTAAAGATCCATTGAGAAAAAAAAATAACTTTTTTTCAGCCACTGCTGGTCAAACTTTAGGTTTATTAGATTCTGAGGACAGACCACCAAAACTGGACCTTCAAGCATATAGCAAAGCAAAGGTGGAGAGTCAATGCTTAACATGAGGGTTATTTCCAGCCGATTTCATTCCACCTAAACACAATGACAAGAGCATTGCTGACTATATGGATAAACTAATCTCAATATAATGTTACAAAAGGCTACACTGACAGAGAAATCCAGCAACTGTGTACTGGTGAAATCAGACTATCTGCAAGTCTCTAAAACTTGGTCCTGAGGATCACAGTCAGCATGCTTTGAAGTGACAGAAAACAATTTGTTCATGGATAACTGTCTCCAAGCCAATAATTTCCAAGGTTCACTTAGAGTATACGTCTTAGGAAAGAAACAATATTTTATCTTCTAAGAGATATTGTGGGTACAATACCTCTTAGTTCTGCCCAAAGGTTTGCATCTCTCACCACATTTTAACTTTTTTTTTAAGGGGAGATACAGCTATGGAGCGAAAGGGCATATTCTGCATGGTCCCAGGCTGCCAGACTCAGGTGCAGCAGGCCTTAAATGGCAGCTTTTCACACAAAGCTGAGTGAGAAGTGCTTCACTGAATTTAGTATATCCATAATCATTGCTGACAAACAGGAGGTAGATACACAAAGGTGTGTAGGAATTATGCTGCTGTCAACAGGAGTCTACACCTGAATGATATTATGTGAAAAAAACCAACCAAAACTCATAATTTGCACCAGTCAGAGTCTTGACTGGTGGATAATACATGCTTAAGCCTGGTAAGATGAATAGACTGATGCAGTCAAAGATCAGTATATAACAACTACAGATACAACTTGTGCTCTCTTGAAAATAAGGCAGGGCCAGGAATTACAGCCCAGAATAGGCAGCTGGCTCTTGCAGCATTGCACTGAGGAGTTTTGTCTCACAGCCTCTGCTGCAAGACTGTCGAGCCATTAAGACCATTGAATAACTCTCTTCTTATCTCTGGGGGCATGAAGAACAGATCTGAGCACTCCAAATGAATGGTTAGAGAAGACGGCAGCTTTACTTCCAAAGGCACCATTTACCAGAATCAAGTTTTCCTCGTCACCCATTTTCTGCAAACCAGGGAACGACTGCAGAATGATCAGAAAGCTCAGCTGAGATGACCACAGCCTGACAGTCCATCTTCAGAGTGTCACAATGTCTTCCCAATTCAATAGCTGAATGCAAGCATTTCTGCAAAAGCTGGAGGCTGTCTGGTATTTCATTGCTAGCTGCATTTGATGTCTTTCCTAGCTGTGTTTCCTGCCTTTCTAAAGCAGAGGACTCCAGCTCCATGCTACCTGAGCAGGATGTCCAGCATCAGTCCTTTTTGATCTTTATCTATATGATAGTTTTCTAAAGAATTCTATGGTGTGCTCTGAAACCTAAGAGTTTTAATTTGGTTAATTTGGATTGGAATATTTACACTAGATTGGCTACTCTCTTTACAAAGGCACCAACTTTCAGATGACTTGGAACTAACTATCATATTTGCAACCCATGCCTAATCCACTGTACTAAGAGAACTACTGTGCTCTTGCTAGAGTACCCAAAGGTATTCCTTTAGGAAGATGGGGGGGCTTGACATTATCTAATGTTTGTATTTCTTCATGAAGCCGTGATAAGTTCCTAAATCAAAAAACAAAACTGGAAGTCATTAGAAGACGTATAGTGATCTTAGCAACCCAAATTACTAGGTCAAGATTTTCACAAAGAATTAGGCATTTTAGGCACTCTAGATTTTTGTTTTTCAAGAAGTGCTGCATCTTCCCGTCCTCTCCTCCAGAGTGCCCTGTGTTTTCACAGTGTCATTTTTCTAAGTCTGTATTTTTGGCTACAAAGTAACCAATGTATCTTTAAATGCAAGGCTCCCTTCTCATGGTGAACAAAGGAAATAAAACTGACAATGAAGCAGATACTGATACTCTCAGACTGCAGAGTTAGTCTGAGATAGGGCTGCTGATTTTATTCTTTTGCAGAAAAGGAAGTCTCTGGGGCTGAAATCCTGGTTCTGTCAAAGTTGTGAAAATTTTACAATTCACTAGGTTTGGTTTCCCTCATTGCACTGCTCTATTCCTCCGTGCTGTTCAATTTTTTCCTGCTTCTCAATTCTGCATTCAGTTTTGAGCCTCTTACCCACTGGGAAAACACTCCATAGTGAGCAGGATAGGGAAGAGAAAGCTGCTGTTCAGCATGAGTGCTTGCCATCTTCTTCAGAACAGAGCATGTTTACTCAGCCTTTCAGCAACGTGTGAGGAATAAACACCCACTCATTTAACTAGCTGCTCACCTGCTCTTGCTTCTGGGGCTGCAGCAGCTTGATAAGAGTGAATGTATGTTGAGATAACAAACCTGATAGCCACTGAGGAGTTATTTATACAGCTGAGCTCCACCAGGAAAATCTACAGGTGGGGTAAGGGACTGGCAAAACCTTGTGTTCCTCTAGGATTTTTGAGAGTCCTTAGAGTTATTCACATTTACACCTGC